GATATATAAGGAATATTTATAATAAAGACTACTACTACTTATTATTATTGTTATTTTGTCCAGTGTGGTTGAAAAATGAACTCACCATTGATTTAGAAGGTGAAAGTGGGAACCTGGTGGGGAGTGTTTTAAGTTTGAACAAGTTCCATATCTATTAATATTGCTTATTTTCTTTTTCACACAGGATAAAATTGGTACAAATTTTAATAAAACAGAGGATTTTAGTTTTGAAAGAAAAATGAGTTCTACCTACTAAGGAACCCTAGATATTTTTGCATGATACGATTTAGAAGCTCAAGCAAAGTATTAAGGAGAACTGAACATTATGTTTTTCCTTGAGTAACGATAGCGTGAGAGACCCAGGAATGTCCATATTTGGAATTCTCTGAAAAATGAAAAATAATTTCAAAACAGTGTTTGTACTATGTATATCCCCCTATTGAGTCTGAAGCTGGTGGAGGAAGGCCTATAAATAGTTAAGGCTAAATTTGTAGTGTTTTCCCAAATTGAAAAAAAATCAGGAAGGAAGATATATAGGAGAGTAAATAGTGAAGCAAAGGCGTGAACTTAAAAGTAACTTGCAGTGTCAGAAAATGTAAAGAGAAACATTTAAGTCTAATAGAATCCACGTTCATTTACACAAGCCTTCAAAAGCTGGTGGAAAACAGACTTGCAGCAGAAGAAACGATACATTTCCAGACCTCCAAGCACTAGAAAAATTATTGCTCATGTCTTTGAATGATGCCATAAAATGCTTTATGTTTGACTAGGAAATAGTCAACAACCTCAATATCGTGTCACTAAGTCATTATCCTCATGTTCATTCTCGTTAAACTATTTATGCTTCACATAACACACTGTGTTCTAGGAGCTTAATAATGCTTGATGGAATATCAATGCATCTTATTTATTTAGTATCTGTGTAAATAATTTAATCATATAGAACGATCTTGTCCTCCACGATAATACTAATGAAAACAATGCCAGGCACTGTTCAACCACTTTACACATATTGACTATGTCCTCTTCCCAACAACTCAGCGAGGTAGGTAACGTTGTTATTTCTTTGTAAAGCAACACGTCCAAGACCACACAGCCCAAAGTGTGGAGCCAGGATTTGAATCTGGGCTCTGTGAATCCAGAGACACATTTGTAGTGAGCACCATGATTGAAATTGTGAGAGAGGAACAGATATTGGCTGTGATTCACTGTAGATTTCCAAATGCTTGAGCAAGGTCTGTGCCAAGCCCCTTTCTGTGACTTGTTGATGCCAGTGATGTGAAAGGCATCGTCCCATCAGTGGGATGAGAGCTGGATTTGGTTTGAGGATTGTGACCCCAGTTCGGGAAGTGTTCCCCGTCATCCCGAGTGAGGCTTTTCCACGGTGAGTGCAGCCGGTTAAGATCCCTACCCTGGGCTTCTGTTTTATCAGCTCTAAGATGTTTCATCTTGGTCGTTTCTACCCCTTCTTCACAGTGTTCTGTGACTTATGTTCTTTGGTGTCCCTTCTGATGGTCCAGTAACAGTTCTTTCAGGAGTTGGTACACAGCTTCAACATTCTTTTTTTTTTTTTTGAAGATTAGCCCTGAGCTAACATCTGTTGCCAATCCTCCTCTTTTTTGCTGAGGAAGACTGGCCCTGGGCTAACATCCATGCCCATCTTCCTCTACTTTATATGATATGCCACCACAGCATGGCTTGATAAGCGGTGTGTAGGTCTGCGCCCGGGATCTGAACCTGCGAACCCTCGGGCCGCAAAAGCGGAGCGTGTGAACTTAACCACTACACCACTGGGCCGGCCCCACGGCTTCAACATTTTTACTCTGCTAAAAAAAGCTTTTACGTTTTTGATTAAGAAAATAAGTGCTAAAAATCAAAGTGTTCTCCTAAAGACTTTTAAGTGCTATTTTCGTTCAAAATAGGTGTTGTTTATTGTGCATAATTGGTGGTAGAAATTCTCTGCTTGTTTTTAAAGCTATTAAGTAATTACATGCCTGGAAATGTATGTAGCTCTGATGATGGGTGCCTGCCTTTCTGTCAGCGAGCTAGGCGCTATTTATATACCAGCAGGGTCCACATGAATACCAGATGCTCGTGTGGCTCAAATGATCCCGTGAAAACCATGCTCTGCGGAACCCCGGGGAACAGCTAAATGTTATTATTTTCTAAGACTATAGAGGCAAACATGTAAAATGTGCCTGGTTTACAATTTGCTTGCTCTTCCTACGTGTCAGGACTCCCTGCTGGTGGAGTGTTGCCGGGCATTGTAAACAGTTCCTGTAAAATGTTTAAAATAGCAACGGCCCTTCCCAGGGGTTGTTGGCAGTGTGTGGATTATACACTTAGCCTGTCATATCCCTAGTACTGAAAGAAAGGACAGAACAGAGGGGACTGGCATGTTTGGTTGGAGGATGTGAAGAGGTAGGAGAGAGGGTTGAATTAATCATGGACCAGCCACATAACTTGGAAGCGCTTGGAGTCGAGATGCTCCAGTTCGGCTCTGCATTGCTGTCCTAGCTCATCTCCAAGCTGAGGCCTGGGCAAGGCCTGCTCTGGTAGGGCCATCTGGTTTCTCCACAAGTGGGTGAACATTGGCTGCTGTTGGAGATGGGGACTGCAGGTTTTACACAAAGAATGAATGAGCAAAATAA